CCGCCTATAAAGGAAAAAGGAGGTTAGTAATTGTCTGTAGTGAGAGGTGTAGTGAGAGGCTCAAAGAGGATAGTTCACTTACATCTTTCGTTTTCTTGGTTGGTCGGGGTGATGGTGAGAAACCCTTTGAACTTCCTGAGGGTGATTTGGATTGTTTGCTGGTTGATGAGCAAGACTAGGATATTAAGACAAATTCAATTACCAAGAAGTAAGATACATTGTTAGTCTGTGGTGTGAAATACAAAGCTTACCTTGCCTTTGCCAGTTGGTTTGGCAGCAGCTGAGGCTTGACTGCTCTTCTTCTTTGTGGGAACAGTAGGGGGTCGAGGTGAAGCAGAACAATCGGCGAGAGGACCAGTTGAACTTTGGTTGTCATCAGAAGGAAGTGTAAGAGTTGTACGAGAGTCTTTTGGCGTAGCCACAAAGCCTGGTGCTGGTCGAGAGGGGCTCGGTGGTCTGAGGGTTCGAGCACTCGATGCTTTTGGTACTTGAAGGCCAGCACTTTTTGACAAGATTTGGGATTGGGAGGGGATTTGGTGATGGCCATGTTGAGATATGATTGGATGATTTGAATCGGATGAGATGAAAGAAAGTGAGGAATCGATTTGAAAGAAGGAAAGGAATGGTTGGGTCAGTTTCTAAGATACGATCAGAGATTTGATTGGTCAAATGGGACTTACCAAATCAACATAAGTACCAGCTTTCGGCAGTCGGATGGACCACAGGTGAGCCATCGAAGCCTCATCCAGGGGGGTTCCATTGGTCGAATCGAGCTAAGATGGTGTGAGGCGTTCTGTTTTGATCTGGTGAGATCAGAACAAGGGGTGGGGTGAGTGATACCCCTCCACCCTTGACTGTATCACTCCGATATATATCAGAGTACCCGAGACCCCGGCCCATTGCGTTTCGGTGGCTCCGCTATGGAAAACCCGGGTCTGGGGTTTCGGTGCGTAGCATCCGCTATCACTACGCCAAATTGCAAATTTACCGTGGAGTTTAGAAAATTGAGTAGACATAGAAAATTATAGAGAAGCTGGCAAGGGTCAGAAAAATATGAAAAAATAATGGGAGGGCCCTTTGATGCATTCCAATTGTCTGGCATATTTTTTCATATTTTTAAAACCACAATGCATATAATACTACACAAAATATAATATTTTCTGGGCAGAAAGTATAAAAACCAACGAACAGTGATATTGAGCAGTCTTGGAGAGAGACGAGAATACACAAAAAATGCATATTGTTCCTATGGCTGAGACCTTGGATTTGAGTATTTTTTTGTATGTTTAGTGTGAGAATTGTTGATTGTACTAACAAAAAACCTCCAGGATTGTTAGATTACAACCTGTAACAGACATTGGAGGGCATAATTTGAATTCAACAATCCCTTATATCTTTGTCAATTCTTGGTCAAACCACTTGATTTTTTGTTCATCGGAAAGCCAAACTCTGTGACTATATCTTTCATTGAGACAAAAAACCTGCATCTGATCCCAAAGAATATCTATGTGGCTATAGAGGAAATTGTTTCAAAGACAAATAGGTTTTTTTGTAGCGGAGCTACAGATTTGATGCATTAACATAACATTCAAATGCACTTCATGGCTTCCTAATCAGCTAACTATCAAGTGTTTTGACCCAGAATTGCAAAAGATATGAGGGATATAGAATTCCAGTGGCCAAATTCCAATCCGTGTTACAGGTTGTAATCTGAGAAACTTGGAGGTTTTTTGTTAGTACAATCAACAATCTGCACACTAAAAATACAAAAAAATACTCAAATCCAAGGTCTCAGCCATAGGAACAATATGCATATTTTTGTGTATTTTTGTCTCTCTCCAAGACTGCTCAATATCACTGTTCGTTGGTTTTTATATTTTCTGCCCAGAAGACATTATATTTTGTGTAGTATTATATGCATTGTGGTTTTAAAAATATGAAAAAATATGCCAGACAATCAGAATGCAATCAAAGGGCCCTCCCATTATTTTTTCATATTTTTCTGACCCTTGCCAGCTTCTCTATAATTTTCTATGTCTACTCAATTTTCTAAACTCCACGGTAAATTTTCAATTTGGCGCAGTGTATGTAATGCAAGGGTTGTAGCGGACCCTAAAAACGCTCCAAAACCGCTCCGAAACCAATATTTGGAGCGGAGCGGTTCGGGTATTGGCTGGAGTGGTGATTGAAGGGGACTGTCTGGGTGAGACAGAAGATCCATCATCAGTCTTGCAGACAGAGGTCACAAAAGCTTTGATTCTGATTCTTCCAGTTAGACATTCTTGGATTTAGATATATTAGAGATATAGAGACTTTGAATGGTCAATGGTCAGAAAGTTGTAGTAGATTGAGAGCAGCGGGGTGTATTGAAGTTGAATGATGATTTATTTGTGAGCCAAATAAATGGACCAAAAGTCAGAACTGTCAGATGATGGTTGCTTGGATAAAGATATTGAGATTACATCTGACATTATACCCAAAAAAAAGGGACCAGCTCCCATCCACATTGTAAATGTGGACCTGTCCACCTTTGATGAAATTGTGGATATTAGAGAGAGGTTTCCAAAATTTAGCAGAAAGGAGACAATTGCTGTACACATGGGTTGATACATATTGAAGAGGTGCTGTGATCACACTTGAAGAGGTGTTGTGATCAACTTTGAGGAGATTGTCGAAGGGTTGTGTCAAGTTATGTTGAGAAGTGTTGCATTAGCATAAAACCAGCAGGGGAGTGTTTGGACAGTGCAGTGCCAAAAAGTTTGTGGAAGTTCCTATGGAGGAACACCACTGATTTTGGCACAGGTAGACACAAAAGTTATCTAGAACCAAAGTGATTTTCAAAAACTAGGCCTAGTTCATAAAGAACATCAGATCACAACAACCCTGATAACATGAATAGAAACTGAAGAAGCTGAAGAAACTGATAAAGAGAGAAAGAGAAGAAGAGAGGAATCCATACTGAGTTCATAAAGAACATCAGATTGCAACAACCCTGATAACATGAATAGAAACTGAAGAAGCTGAAGAAACCAATAAAGAGAAAAAGAGAAGAAGAGAGGAGAACAAGGATAGTCTAGACTCTAAATGCATCTACTGTACTGTATAGCCTGTGACATGTGTGTTTGTAAGTGTGACACCTTACAGTTTGGAGCCAGATTAGTAACTCAGGGCATAAATTACGGGTTTTTGAAGACCTGGGTAGCTAAGCACAAGCACAGGATGCTGTGCTGCAAGCCAGACTTGGGTGTACAAGCTCAGAAACAAGTCACAACTTTGTAAGGCCTTCTTTCAGATGAAATCAAGATCCTTTCAGTCTACTTGGAGAAATTTGGTTTCCTCAATTTCCTTTTTTCATGGTCTCCATTAATTTTCATCAACACTTTGCACTTGAAAGTTTTATAAAAAATATCCTGACTGGCTCAGACTGAAAACAACAATCACAGAATGTATTCTTCACAATGCACCATACCAGTTTTGATTTTTGCAATGATATATATGGTCATGACCATCCCTGAGAATCTCAGGGATGAAAAAAAAACTAGCTTGCTATCATTGCAAACATCAACCATCAGGCCCCAGGGATCAGTCAAAGTTATATGTCCAAGGGATCTTCTACATTTAACACTTTCACCAATGAGCATCCAGGAATTGGTCCCAGACATCTCTCCCAGAGATCCTCTTGAAATGGCATGTTCACCAACAAGCATCCAGGAATTAGTACCAAACACGTCTCCAAGAGATCTTCTTGAAATGACATGTTCACCAATGAGCATCCAGGAATCAGTACCAAACATGTCTCTCAAGCACTGGACTTATCAGTTGGATCAACTACCACCCCAAAACCAGTACCAACTATGAATTAAAAATATCAGCTAGTATTAACCCTTGCACCGCCAGGGAGAAGAAATTATGTGGCCAATCAGAATGCTTGTCTTGGGCCTGAGCAAAGGGAACAGGCCACAATCCTTGTCTGGAGAAACTTATAGCAACAGCTTCAGATCCCAATGGGGTTCCCAATTTGGCAGACCAGGAAGTGAAAGACAAAAAGAAGACATGTGTGATGTTGGATATGGAAGCCTACATACTATAAGCAGTAGTTGAAATTTTGCCTCCACCTTCAAACAAAAAGATGGAATAAAATAACATCATGGGACAAGAGGAATCTACATTGTATTCTGGATCCCCAGATGGACTCATCCAACACAAATATTCCCCAAAACTACTCTTGGCTCATCCTTCCAAGAAATTTCCAAAAAGGCTCATTCCTTCAAATATTAGTGAAGGAGTCTGATAATCCTTGGTATGGTTTCTGGAAATAGTGATATAGAGCTACAGGTGTATGTACATAGAGCCCTAGACAAGGTAGAAGGCAAAAAATTGGTATCCTCATAGCAGTTTCAAATATAATGCAGGGTAGTGTCTGGGACTAGCCTTGGTTGGAAGGTTCTGCATGATGGCTGCTATGGCATTGCTGCCCATCTGTGATTATATGAGACACTTGAGAAGTTTCTGAAGCACACACACAAAATTATTCATTATTTATATTTCCAATGTCTACTAGCAATGTTTTTTTCTATTTATGAAAAGTTGAACTTAATAATCAAGGCATCCAATATCACAAGTTTGGACGAAGATCAACTTTGTCTCCTTGTGATTTTCCTTCTAGAAAAGGTAGAAGGCAATCAAGACAGTAGTAGTAAATACCTGAACATAGAGGGGCTTACTTTTTGTGGAACTTGTATGTGCTGAAGACATTCAAAGTTTCAGAAACAAGTCACAACTCCACACAACTTGGTTTTAGGCGGGTTTGATATCCTATAAACCCTGTAAAAAGTAGTGCATCTTTCATTAAATAACTATATCTCCCAGGTTTGGAATCTCAATTCAAAATTGACTGTTATCAGTCATAAGCTGATTGATATCAATCCCAGAGGCCAACCTTGGAGAATCATATGAAGGCACTTCAACCAAACCTCAAAATCCAAGCAAAGAGATTCAGAATGAAAACCTTACAATGTATGATGCCAGTTTTGACTTGTGTGATGTTATCCACAGTCTTAACTAACCCTATGGAATTTAAGGGTCAAAAGGCTGATTGGTCAACTTTTAAGACAGCAAAGCCTGGGATTGAAAATTCAGTATCAGCTGTAATTCAAAGGGATGCATTAGCATTAACACTTGAACCACCTTCCGTAAAAAATGTTTACAACCCAAGTTCAATTGAAGATTTGGGCTCTGGGAACTTGAGAGAGAAAAATCAAGAATTCTCAAGTCATGGAAAGGACTCATCAGATAGACAACTTACACCACCTTATAGAAGAGCTGTAGTGAATTTCTCTGCAACAAAAAAAATGGGCCCTGATGCTTTGGGAGCTCCTAAAGATAGATACTCAACAAATATAGCTCAAGATAAAAGAATTGTTTTTACTAATCAGTATCATCAAATTAGTCCTGAAGACATTTCACTGTGTCAAAAGAGGGTACAAAATCTTTTAGGGGAGAGTCCTGGTCACAGTGTTGGAATTCACAGGCCCGCTCAACACCATATTTGTGGACATGAAATAACAAGAGAAGATGGGTATGATTTTCTATTAGAGCAGCCAAACACCTTCAGAAGTTCAGTCAGCATCTCACCAGAACGTAAAAAGCAAAAATTGGGACCAAAACACAGCAATGTGATATATCAAAATCCCAGGGATCCATATCAAAATGATGATTTTCACAAGGATGATAAGTACAAAGATAAAGAAATAATCTCAAAAAATTGGGAAATTGCACGCCTTCCAATGCCCATGATTTGGCATCTGTCACCATTTCTATCTGAAGGGTATGATGCCCTGAAAGATAATCCCATTTCTAAAGACATAGATTCCTGGTTCTCCAAATTTGAACTTTTCATGTTGGGCAAACACAGGAAATGTGGTTATGTTGGGCTTGATACTAAGGATATCAAAGAAACACTGGAGTTTTGCAAAAGTGAGCTCACAGTCATCTTTTTGGGATACCTCATCTCAAACAAATGGTATTCAGGAGGGCAAGCAAATGAAAAAATACTAGATGAGGGGTGGGGTTTCTTGAAAGATTGGATGAATAAATTGAAAGAGTTGAATTTTCAAGAAGTTTTGATGTACAAAAACATGTATCCATCCAGATTTTCTCAGTCAATTACTCCTTCAGAGTTCTTTGCTAAATTGATGAGAAGAAGAAAAGACAATCTCTTCATGAACCTATTCCAGAAAGTTGTATTTGAATGGAAATCATCACAAAACACTTCATGAACTTAAAAGATAGAGTGCATATGTTTTTTTGCTTAAGGAAGCCTTGTCAAGGGGTTTTTGATTGGTTCTTCTTGACAAATTTCTACCAGACAGGATATGATAATGATGTCAATCTGTCAGTTCTTAAATCTCTCTTTGCAAGCTGAAAATGTATGGAAACATAGAAAATTACCATAATGTATGCTCAAAAATGAAAATTCTTGTCGGGAAAAGATATCTCCTTGCCATCTTGTTTTATTGGATAGACTCTACTGCTTTGAGTCTTGACTTTGAGAAATCAATCACTACTGTCCCTAAGTTTTTGGGAAGCCAGAATTCAGGGCTTCCTTGATGGGCGGCCCTGCAGTCAGGGTGGAGCAAGGGAGATTCGTTAGGAGCTTAGATGGACTAAAAACCTGTTAGATCTGGGCTCTTCTTTCATGGTGAGCACCAGCTGAGGAATGGTGGCCCCCATGGGAATCTTGCTGGCATTTGTATAAATGGCTAATGATTCTTCAAGCTGATATCAACTTGGCTTCCAACACCACTAAATTATGCTCTTTCTGGAGAAACACTGTTGGAAAACACCTTAAAGAAATCTCTAGAATGCAAGTATGTGGCGCTACCTATGCCATGCCACATACTTTCAAATTTTGTTTTTGACAGGAAAAATGACCAAAACTGACATTTTGAATCACACAATTTGCCAAATATAATTCAGCATGTCCTTTTCTTTAACTTGTTATGGTATTTTCCGTGTCAAAAATGACATTTGAAAAGTATGTGGCACCACATACTTACTTTGAGTACCCTTAGTACATATTTTAACCAGATGGAACTACGGCTTTGGATCTGATATGGCCTTGTGTCATTAGAGCTGGTCCTGGGGTCCTGCTGGCCCTGTAGGCAAACCTCGTTCTGCTGAGGAATGACCAGGTTGCCATTTTTCAGGTTGTGGGTGAGCCCTAAGGTTCTTGAAATAACACATCTATGGTCAAGTCCCTGCAAGTCCCTGTAAATGTAGAGACATCACGCCCTAAATACAGACAATATGCATCAAGTCAATCTCACTCTCGCCGAAAGAATACCGTCAAAAGAATCAAGACTTGTCGAAGGGTGAAACTTTTGGAGGAAATTATGGGTAAAGTCTAACATAGACTGGAACTTGGTTAAAACTCAAGGCATAGACACTTCTTGCGGAAGTGGTACAGAGATACATGATCGATGGGACAGGGCAGCCGACTCAAAACTTTCCACAACAAAGCAGAAGGCAAGCGGGGGAAATGATTCGATCGATTCGGGATTAGCTCAAGTGGAATGGTTGAGGTCAACCAAAGGACCGTTGACAAACGCGAGGCACCAGATCATGAACGCGGTAGCATTTAGCCTAAACCCACTCCCAAATTTCCCTTCAAATCACAATAGTCCACGTAATCAGCCATATTTCGCAGGTTTCAAGATTCGTGCGCGCAGAGAAGAAACTCAGAAATGATCCTTAGACTCACGTTTTCAAAAAACGTCTGCTACACTTGGAATATTTCATGGTCGACCATATCCCCACTCTCGTACCAATCATCCAAGAGGAAGAAATATTCCAACAGATCAACTTCGGGAACCGCGTGAGGTTGCATTTGGAGAAGATATGCAATGTCCATCTCTATACGAGCTCTGACGTGATCGGGACAATGATAGCCATTTCGCAATTGGTCCTCAGACGTCGGTAAAAATGGCCAACGCTTCATCACTAGCCACATGGCCGGATCTTCAAATATGACCGCCCTCTCAACCAAGCATCTCGTTGCGCGGGAAGTTGTTTCGGGCAGGGTACCTTGGTGCGTAAGCATCAGGTTAGCCTTTTCAATTGAAAGTGTCGAGACTCGCCTGTTAGGTAACGTACCTTCTAAGCCATCCACATCAATTCTTCCAGCAGCCTTCAAGAAGGCCAGCTTGGATTTTCTTACATCGCGAGGTAAGCGAGATTCGTTGAGGTGATAATATCTCGACTCGTTGGGGAGATCGCATAGAGGACTACTGTTGCCTGGTATCCCAATCCTGGACGGCAGGGCTCCACTTCTAGTTCGACAAGTTCTGAGAGCTGCATCATTGAGTTGCGCGCCGGGAACTTTAGCCCTGATAGAGTGGATGGATCACGTGTCAAGATGAAGCATGATTCAACTGGGAGATACTCGATTGAAAGAGAGTATCAGCCTTACGGTTCAGATATAACTGAGAGCTCGTGATCGGTGGATCTGTAAGAGTAGGAAAATGTGACCAAATCCAGAAATAAGTGACCAGAACTGAGATAGCAGAGGTATTCGAGCTCACCCTTCTGACCCGTCCGATGAATCAGGCGCCATCGGTCTACTCGGAAGCAATCCATGCCATATATAATCAGAGACATACAATGAGAAGAATACAGAGAGACTGTTGTGGAAGCTCACGCTGCGCTCGTGTAGTCAGAAACAACGCTGGGTCTTTCAACATTTCGTGGCTCGTAAGGATATTTGTCCGAAATTTTCATCAAATGAAGAGGGTTGCTTCGTCTTCTAGAATCCATTTCCAGGATTTGTCGGGATTGAGACTCGGGAATTCAAAAAATTGAAGGAAGCTGTTGTTTTTTTAGTCGCAGTCAATGAGAGGAGTTTGAAGTTCAGAGCAAGGATATTTATTCGGGATATAGTCTGACTTCGGAGGAAAAGTTGCATAGGGCGAGCGCGTGCTAAGCTAGAGATCTCGAATATCCACCTCATCAAAGCTGTAAAGCTTACATGTATATATCACATGAGCCCATCTCTGTGTGGGTATGATTTTGAATGACATAAGGGTGCAAATATCGATCTACCAACTTCTCATAGTAATCAAATGGATGGTGACTTTGCTAAGCCGCATGTCTGAAACCTTGATAAACCTCAATTGATTTGAGGAACCGCACATTTTCCCTTCTGGAAGCCTAACGTAACTTTGCGGTTTTCGAACGATGACCATGAGCTGTATGTCTTCAAATTCTACGGCTTTTGCGCCTCTTCCGACAGCGCTTATCATTTACGAAAAATGGTCGCTTTAGGGGTTGCGGAACACTGCCAGATACAGCGGCATAAGGGAAGGATATCGAAATTTGGACGCCAAAGGATTCGGGCTCGACAACACGATATAAAAGAAACACAAAAGTGATTACATTTCAGGTTTGAGGATATGATCCATGAGGTGATTTTCATGATAAAAGAAGAAAGAATCTCAGGAATACACACTCCTAGATTTGCGTGCAATATCTTTGCCAGAGCCCAGATTAGATCAAACACCAAAGTAGGATCCTCATCATTATTATATACACCCAAGAATAGTTTGAAACCTGTTAGGGGGCCGATAGTACTGGAGAAAGGCCCTTTTTCGAAACTAAACAAAAGAAATGAAAGAGTTAATGGCTCCTTGAACAACGGACCTCGCACCAGCACAAACAAATCTTGCTCAAACCCCGTCTGGGCGTCTCGATCTTCCACTTGTTGTTGTGGAATAATTATAAAAATGAACAAATAGATGGACACAACATGATTCAGTAGTCATCAATGCGTCCTTGACGTAGTCCCTTGAAAATTTTCTTGAATCAGAAGGGAGCGGTTCAATTAGTTTAATGATTCTTACAGGAATAAAAAATATCGTGTAGGGAGACTGCCCAAGAGTCATCCTCGCTTGATGAGGAAGAAGTGCGATTTTCAGACACCGGAGCACGGTAGTCTATCACCAAGGCATATCTCTTGAGAAAGAAACAAAAAATTGACAGAGGTGAGGAAATCTCAAGAGGGGATTTTTAGACGCAAGATGAACATATATCCCAAACGTAATCATCTTCACGCTAGGAATGTGTTTCACTTTTCGATTACGAAGGTCAAAGGGTTTATCAGTAATCTCCATTGATGAATATATATGATGACCATATCAGGAAGTACAAAAGGCTATGAGAGTCTGAATTTGCTATAGCTCATCAAGAGCTTTAAAGTATTTTGACGTAAAGTGTTGTATGTAAATGGCATTGGCTAGTCACGCTCACTTTTTCGATTAACAACTGTACCTGCTATGAGACATATATGTTTTGTGATACAGTTTCCCTCAGCCTTCGATTGCAAGTGCGATACCCTAAGTACGCTCGATAATGTAGGCTCAGCACATTCGAAGCAGAATGAGCATGAGACTGTTTTGATTGCATTCCCTTACATTTAAATTTCACTTATTTACACATAGTTACATATTTCACAATCACTGACGTTTAATCCTTTTACAGTGTCCTGCCAAATGATTGCTTTATATCCAAGACGTGAATTCGGACAACATAGACACTTGCTTCGATGGATCAATAGATCAGAAGCTGTTCACGACTATTCATGTGTAGCGATTCATTATGTGCTTCTGTGTATCCCAGGTTCAAATTCGGTCGGATCATTCATGATGCATCCCAGTCCTCACAAATTAGATCCTGAGCGTGTCGATTGACAAAGCCTAACGGTCACAGGAACACCAACTTCGGCTTTCTTGCGACCAGGACATTCAAAGGAGAATGATCACGAGACTGTTTTCGTTTCATAGCTTTACATTTCGAGTTCATTTCTTGGCACAAATGGTGGTTTTGCAATCACTGTAATAATTTTCCCAGGGTCCTACCAACCGATTGGACGATATCCATGACTTCTATTTGGTCATAATAGACAGCTTCTCCAAAATATGGACAGATCAGAAGTTTTTTACGATTACTTGTGGATCCTTTGCGTGCTTCTATTCATGCCAGTTCGAGACAAGGAAGAAAAGATAGTCAATCAAAAGAGTCAAAATTTGGGTTGTATGACAATACATCGCCGGTCCTCATAGATTGAATCCCAAGAATGCCGATTGTCAAAGCAGATGACTCACCGCAACATCAACTTCGGGTTTCTTGCGACCAGGCTTGAGGAAAATCAGAGCACTTCGGGCCTCATCGAAGCAGTCATACTCTGTCCGCGCAGCAAAATGTGATTTCACAGTCATCTCGGCCATGCGCCTGCATATATGGCTACTCAATTGTGATGAAGTGCGACATCTAAGTGGGTCCCATTCACTACTCGAAGCATCACACATAGTCTCGACCAACCGCGGCCTCTGATCGCATATCAGAACGAAAAATTGACCGAATGTCAAGACAAGCAGCCATGCCGTGAATCAAGCAGGTTTGGCCTGCTCTGGCACTCAGAAATCATATCCATAAAGCTGGATTTGTCTTTTCGTAATCCATTTCTGATCTAGGCCGAGGCTCGCGAAGTCCACAGGCTCGAGCCAGACACGCGATGTTGTGCAAGTTTGGACATGGAGAGATCCACAGATCTGAAGTTTCCAAGGCTGCGATGCGGTTGTCTTGACGTATCTGATTGAATCAAAGGCCTGTTCCGATGAAAGGAGCCTGAAACCAACACACGACATCGAAGTGCAAGTTCAACCGAAAAAGGGTTCATCAACAACGCTCCTTCTTTCTACAACTTCAAAAGAGCGTATGATTTCCGCATTGAAACGCCAACAGAAGGCCCTAAATGGCGATGAACCATAGGCCGATCGGGCTGAATGACCGTAGAGAGCCTTCATGTGTAGATTCATCGGTAGCCAGAAAGCTACAGGAGGCCATCTAGTTTCATGTTTCGCCGCGACCCAGTTTGGGAAATCGATTTAGATTGGCGGATGTAGGAAACCTTTGGTGACGAGCTTGTACGTTTGATCGTGGTAGACACCGGATGCTGAGACAGACTTATGCTGAGATATGAATAATGAGAAGACGTCTTTCAGTGAAGACGTGGATCGAGCGAACCGCCACGTGTAACCAGAAAACGCCACAAAGTCAAGACCGCTCGGGAACGTTAAAGCAACCAATATATACCGCTAAATCTTAATCGTGTCCTGACCCCTCGTATCTCACCGTCCAACTTCAGCTGCCAATATCCCACATATTTAAGCCCCTCGCGGCAGGAATGCAGAAGTGAGTATGAGTATACTCAACTCATACTCACTCTGTACGGGTTTTGGCCCCGTGGGTGAGTAAGTTGGTGCTCTCGATGGGCACCAACTGAGTTGTCTCAGTATCAGAATACTCACATGTAAGTGTAACATGATTACACAATACTCAAATGTGCCCTGTCCCCGCGCCCTTGACTCACTAGCCCTCTTTCAGCGCCCACAATATTTGGATGAGTATACTCACTTATATACTCATCCAAACAAGGTCACGACAAGTCAACTACGGTAGGATATCCTTCGGCGCCCTAAGATATCGTTGGCTTACGATTGATGACCACCTTCAAGCACTATATCTTTCCCTTTCAGCTTTCATTCAGCCATTCGACACCCAATCCTCTCCTCACACCCAATCCATCAATCAATTTCAACTGTGGACCACGCTCGATCTAACGGTGGCTGGCCAATTAATCGCCAAACAATCCTACGATTGAGGTATTAGCCAATGGCTCAGCAATTGGCATTTCGCCACATTGAGTTATGGCTACCAGCGCTTTCGTGGGTCAACTCCGATATAATGAATATTGGAGATCTTGAATGGGAATTGGACCTTCGGTGAGCAGCAACATTTCTATATTATATATGTTGTCTTCTGGAAAAGTTCCAGCAGAATCTGATATGGAGATAGCCAACTGCTCAGCCGCAACTGCAGCATTCGGATCAGATGCTTTGAGTTGTACATTTACAAAGCACACTGTCATATATGTAGTACAAGAGGTTTTCGATGATATTTAGAGATACAAGGTGATTCTCAGCGCCGGACAAAGAATGGCAGCGTCGTGGTGCTGGTAACGCTTTCGAGATCTTTCAAAAATCCTGAGAAATTGCGCAATGATACTGAGGGCTAGATTCTTTTACACTTCATAAGAGAGGATGAGGGAGGAAAGACTTGCATTGATGTATTGAACATGATCTAGCGGCTCGTATGTTGGCGTAACTTATTTATTCAACAGTCCAAGTTGTGCAGATACGGTCGCCCTCAAAAATTACACCGACTGGACGGTGACTCAGACTGATTCGTTTCAATTTTTCAGAAGCGACCGAGACTTTGGGTGCATCTCAGTTTCCCCAACGTTCTGGAATATCAGCTCAGCATTATGCTCTCTTACAGCCTCATAGATGACTGGCAATAATTCAGAGCCAGATATACTTTTTGCGGTATATGCTCACAAGATAGTTCGGACTCGCCTATGTGATTCCCTATTCAAGGCATTCCCCTTTGTTCTCCCCATATGCGCTTACGCGCTTTTCTCTTTTCCTTATATTTTACTTTCAGTGCTTTTCAAATGTCTATTTCCTCTTTTTTACTTTATCGAGACGGACTCCGCCGAATCCGTCCCGACTGCTTACATGTTGTAGCCCTCCACTAATTATAGCCGGATCCTGTAGTACCGGATCAGGCTTCCCGCTCCTCAAATATCTTGTAACACAGCGATCATGCTGTTCTTATTGTATTACCTCTTATTTCCTTTTTCGTACTTTGTAGAGAAATGCTCGCCCATATAAGGAGCTTGCATCTCCCTCGTAATGTAA